CCCCACACCCCCAACACACACCAACACCCCACTCCCACACTCACACCCCACACCCCACCCATACCCACACCGCACACCCACACCCCACACCCACACCCCACACACACCCACACTCCATGGAACAGGCCATTGAACATTGTCATAGAACCATTAGCATAATTTATGATTATAGAGTTCGCTGTAGTCATGTACTTTATAATTAATACAAATTAATTCTCAAGAATAACTGTCAATACTTAAAATATTGAAAGCTACAATTTCGTAAATATTTTTTCTCGAATAATGAACCTTGAAAAAGTCAAAAACGCGTCGTAAAATTGCTTGAAATCTTTTGTCCAATCATATTCTCACCGATGTTATAGTGTTTAAAATAATTTATTGTTATCGCTGAGTAGGAAGATGTTGGCAGAAGAACGAGCAATTGAAAAACGTGCATGTTATTCACTAATATAAAACGGAACATGAAGTGTTTCAAACACAGAACACGTTAAAAGAGCGCAAATGTCAACAACTGCAGTTACATCAACCTCAGAATTTGCTGACGAAGACATTAAAGAAGTGAATTCAACAGTACAGACAATATTGCGTCCTATTAAGGTTCCATGGAACTCCCAATATATGAATAATGACTTAATGCTCATCTGGGTGGATGCTCAAATAGACTCCAATGACGATTGTCAGCATGCCAAAAAACGTCTGCGATCACTTGTCAATAAAATCAGGACTTTTGTTGATGTAGATACCTGTCTTGCTTTTCTGCACGCAATCGAAAATGAGAACTTTCAACAACAAATATGCATAATCGTCTCAGGCTCTTTGAGTCGTGCATTAATACAGAACATTACGAATATAAATATCGTAACTACCGTTGCAATCTATTGTTTTCGAGTAGAATTTTGTGAAAATGACATCGATATAGATCATCATCCGAAATTTATTGGTTCGTTTGTTGAATTGGGACCACTGTTAATCGCTTTGGATGCACGGGTGCGATCTCTGGCTACTGTAACACCGCTAACACTCAAAACCAATACTGAATGCCAACGTTCAATTAAAGATCTGTCACGAGAAAATCCTACTTTTGTTTGGTTTCATTTACTCATTCAGTCAATTTTGCTACTTCCTCGCACTGATGCTGCGCGATCAAAGATGCTTGAAGAATGTATTCATCAGTATGATGATGACGTCATCGAACAAAAGAAAATCCAGGAATTTCAAGACAATTATGAACCCGATCAAGCAGTTAAGTGGTATACACGTGATTCGTTTGTTTATAGATTGGTTAATCGAGCTTTGCGTATGCAAGATATCGACAACATACTCACGTTCTATCCATTTATAGCAGATTTACACGAGCAGCTCCGTGTACTTCATGATGAGTTTATTGACCTGGGGCCTTCCGATGAAATCACCGTCTATCGTGGCCAACTGATTCATATCCATGAACTTCACAAAATGGCTGACAACATCGGTGGACTTGTTTCAATGAATTCTTTTTTCTCTACCGGTTTTAATCGTACATTAGCTCGACGCTTTGCTGGTGAAAGCGCCACAGCTTCGTCGGACCTCGTTTCGTTAATTTACGAAGTGAAGATCGATACGACAGTGCGCACCGCGCCCTATTCCAACGTGGGTCAGCATACATATTTTCCGAGCGAAGATGAGTTTCTCTTTTCAGTCGATGCTGTCTTTCGCATTGAAGCAGCTACTGAACTGAACGATGAGCTCGGCCAGCACTGGCAGATCAAGCTTCACCTCATTGATGAGCGGAACGAACAAGAGTTAATCGAACTCCTTGATCATTGCAAAAGCGAGATTGGTGGCACTAGTTCGCTCGCCTCTTTAGCTTCTATTCTTAACATAATGGGTGATTATGCACACGGCGAACGGTACTGTCGTTTGTTGTTGGACGAACTTCCTGTGGGTCATAGAGATCGTCTTGTTGCACTTACAATTCTGGGACACATTGCTCAAGATACTGATAGACAAGAAGAAGCATATGCCCATTATGAGCAGGCTCTTAATGAATGCGAGCCCAACAATATCAATCAGAAGATTTTGGTATCTATGCCACTCAATAATGTGGCCACAATGCATTTTGAAGCTGGACACTATGATGTAGCTACAAGCGAATTTTTACAACTACTTAAATTACGTGAGACTTATCTTTCGACCGATGATTCGAGGCTAATTTGTACCTACAATAATCTAGCCATTTGCTTACTGATGAAAGGTGATATGAAGGGGGCTGTCGACAAGGCAGAAAAAGCACTTACTCTGTGTAAAAAACATCTACCTGAGAATGATCCGACCCGCGCTTCAGTTGAAGGCAATTTAGGTGATGTTTACTATCAGTTAGGTCGACAAAAAGAAGCTATTTTTCATTGTGAAAACGCTCTTGCTATTCAGAAACGATGCATGCCTTCTGGTCATCGTTTCCTCATCACTGCTCATCGCAATTTAGGAAACAAATATACCGATATAGGAAATTACGCTCAAGCTCTTGCTCATTTGGAAAGTGCGCTTACAATCGAACAACATCAAGATAACGTGGATCCACTCTCGCTAGCCGCAACATTTAATGGTATTGGATGTGTATTAAGTGGACAAGGTCGTAAAGATGAAGCTTTGTCTTATTTTCAACGAGTTCTTCAGCTTATTCCTGAAAATCATCCTCAACGTATTAGTGCTCTACAGCGGCTCGGTTCGATACTAGGGCAGATGGGGGAAATAGCTGCTGCTTACGACACTTTATGTCAAGCGATCACGTTACATGAACAGCAAAAAGATAATTCTAATGAACTCGAATTAGCTGATATATATCATTCCATAGGTACTATTCAGTGTCAAAGTGGAGAATTAGACAACGCCGTTGGAAACTATAACAAAGCTCTAGCCATCCGGCAGCGTTTATTACCTCCAGCTCATTCAGACATCGCAAGACTATACAATGAATTAGGTGCTATACATTTGGACAGACGTGACTATGTACATGCACTCAACTACTTTCAACGGGCTAGAGCCATAGAGTTAGAAACATTACCTGAAGGACATCTCGAGTCAGCGCGTACACAACACAAAATTGGCTACACTCTGTTTGAAATGGGCAGGGTTTCCGAAGCACAAATAGAAGAAGAAAAAGCACTTGCGATCCTGCTTGAAAAAAAACAACTTTACGCGAATCATCCACTACTTAACAGTATACGGAGAACTCTCAGCGTAATACATATCACTATTGCTGCTGCGCATCAAGCACCAGCAATTACCCAACAGGATCAGAATGAACAACAACAAAATCGCTAACCTTCTCGTAGGAATATACACAATTCAGTCCCATAGTAACTCTGGAAGATATTTCTTGTTTAACAAGTTTTTCTTTTCATTTGTTCAAAATATATCACTGTAAAATCAATACTTAACAAAACAATTGTAAACGAAACTCTTTTCTTAAAAGAAAAACTCCAATATATTTTCTTTCAATCTAATTTTCTAGAAAAATCTAGTTGGATCTCATTTCTTGATCCGCTCGCTAGCAAAAGTATCTATCATAATGTGTATTTCATGAATTTTATGAAACGTGAGCACAAAATGGTGCTTTTTTGGGCTGAGTTTTGATAATCGTTAGATCCAAAACTAGATTTACGTTATTCCAAAAATATAAGAGATTTAAAGTAAAAGTTTTTCTATCGTTCGAAATGAGATATTTCAGTGATGATCCACTGTTCATCCTTTGCATGCTTTCCAATCAAAGTGAGATTAAAATGATATCTTGTTTCCTTTTCTTTTCCTTATTATTCATTCTAAAGAGTGTAGGCGTGGGTGTGAGTATGATTAGCAAACAAATGAATATTCACACCCATATCCACACTCTACTATGTATTCATGCGATAAAACTTTCGATATTAACTATTTTGTAAAGTTTTAAACGCTGGGACTAGAACTTTTGGTTAACCCTAAGTATAAAGCTTTAACATAGACTTTTTGCAGAGCAGCAACAAAAACAAAATGAATGCAGACCTTCAGCACCACCCGTTATATTGTATTTGTTACATTTTGCGTGTGGGTGTAGGTGGGTGTGGGTGTGGGTGTGGGAGTAGGGTGGGGTGTGGGTGTGGGTGGGG